AGCGCATAAACAGCGTCACTGACAACGTTAAGACCCTGGCTCTGATTGATTGCTTCTAACTCAGCTATGTATTTATGTAGTTAGCACTGGGAGGAGGAATAGGAGCTCGATTTCAATCTGCCTCATATTAAACTGACAATGGCCATTTTAATAGCTATGTAAAAAAAACATTTTTTATTTTTATTTATTTTTTGCAAATTCCATATTGCAGCTCAACTGTTCCCTCTCAGGTTTTAGGTATTTATTGTGTAAGCATAAAATGATTCCTCTTCTTTCTGTCCAGTCTGCTCCCATAGCAGCTCTACCATTCATATAAATATTTCACATCCAAAAGTTAAAAAGGCATGTAACTTCACACTTCACAGACCCCGGTGAATCCATCACTCCTTGCCTCTGACACAAACAAACACACACTGAATACAGAAGCGTATGTATCTGTAGTTAAATTACAACACGATCAAAGCCCACTTACTTTACAAAGAGCAGAACTCATCTAATAAAAGCACCAAAAATGAGGTTTACCATCACACACACACGCACGCACACGCACACACACACACACACACACACACAGAGAGAGAGAGAGTTCAGGCTCCAGACTGGCCAGGGAGAGGTGAAGGCAGAAACACACACCTTCTTAATGATTTATGTTATAAGGATGAAAAGAGAAGAGCTGATAAATTCTGCTCCCAAAAACATTCCTACAGCTTCTCACTTGACCAAAACCAGATACTGCAGAGGGTCTCATGTATATTGATGTTAAAGTCTGAAGCAGCCTGTGCTCCAACATCATTCTGCAATTTGACAGAACCAAGAACCAGGAATGCTTGAGAACAGCATTTTCTGGTCTGGATGTGTAAAATGTAATGATCTGTAAGATGCATAAGGAGTGTTAGGATGTTCTTAAATTGATCTGCTGTACAAACTATTTATTTTAATACAAGAAACTTAGGATTATCTGAACAGTCTGAGACACCTGAGATCTTTTTAACCCGCCTACACTGGTGTATCTGCATTTTGTATTATTTACTAACATTGCTTTCTAACCAACAGTCTATGCATTTCACACTCCAGCACACACGCAATTTTAACACCAGCTAAGCTAGGCTTGCCACATTTTTTTTGTATGTTTTACCACAAGAGTGCTGCAGGCCTTGCAGGCCATATTGCACCTGTGCACCACTGTTGTAGTATTTATACAGCTCCTATTTCATTTTCTGTGATTTCTACGATGATAAATGTAAGGAGTTGTGACAGATGATATTCCTCTGTCCTAAACTATAGATACTATATTTTTTATAAAGAAAGTTATAAAACAAATTATTAAAAAGAAAAGTGATGAGGTTATCTATTTTAAAACAATTATATACATAAAATATGTCTCATTGTCAAATCACACATTTTTAATTCGAATAATTAATAATTTTCTGCCAAGTGTCACAGCAACTATGCAAAAGATGCATGCTTCAGGACAAAACATCCACCGGTGTGTCAAAAATCACTTCATGTTTTCCTGCCAATAAATGACTCACAAAGATTCATGCCTTTGTTTATAGTTATTATTATTATTCCAGATATATATTCCTTCAAGGACTTTTAAGGTATTTGTCTTTAATCAGGGAACCATATTTTTTTTTCTTTTTCTGGCAAGCAAGGAACAATTCTTCCATCCCCTCTGCCTTTCCATGGTGTTTAAAAAGAACATAAAATGTCCTTGATTGTGCCTGAATGTGTGTGTGTGGCTACACACACCAAACAGGTGCATTTGAGCTGCCTAATAACAGTAAAGCAGCCTTCTGTTGGAGTCTTTGTAGGCAGACAGAATGAAGCAGAAGTCAGTGGTGTGTTAGATCCATCAAAGCCTGTCAACAGTGGACCTAAAATCATTTTACTGCTCTAGAGAGCACACAGCTGCGTTGATCTGAATACCACCTGATTGTGTGTGTTTGTGTGCATTCGTGTGGACTGGTTAGATTCTTGTTTTTCTTCAAGTATGAGTCTTTATGACATTAATGTTGTGTATGTAAATGTGCGAATGTGTTTCTATGAATGTGTGTGGGTGCCCATACTTTTTTTTTTTTTTTTTTTTTTTCTGGCTGTGACTGCTTGGCTGGGAAACGTTTGACTTTTTGACATCTGAGCCCACAGCAATTTGTCAATGATTCACAAAAAAGACAAAGAAAGTGAAAGAGCAACAGGGAAAAGAGCAACAGGGAAAGAAGCTGGGACAAATTAAAATGGAAGGAACAAAAAGGAGACCAGACGAAAAGAACAACGCGTTCCTTGTGTTGCTCTATGAATCCCAAAGTTCTGGGCAACCCTCCCAAGTCTGGGGGTTGACGACTCGGAACCAGAACCAAGAACCAGAACCTGGGCTAAATAGACTGTGAACTCTGAAGGAGATCAAAAATTGCAACAAAGGTTCAAACGGAGACGCTTAATTCGTGCGTTTTTAATATTTTTGATACAAATAACAGGATTTTGATCTTTTATCCTGGCCATGAAAGATCAATCCGTTAAATATTTTCCATTTTTGCTGCAATGACAAACATGCATGTTTTCACCAAGTGCAAAGAAAAAGCTACAGTGAAAAGAGTAAAAAAAAGTACTAACAAATACAAGAAGTATTATAATTACAAAAAACATAAAAGTCTCTTTACAAACATGGAAATGTGTCAGAATCACGTGTGCCATCGCGTGGCACCAATATACTTATTCCGCTTGTCTCTCTTTCAAAGACTTGTCCTTTCAGAGAGGACTTGAGACTAGAATGGCTCTAAAGTAAACACTTGGCTGATCATCCTTCACCCCCTCTGTAGTTCACTGCACAGGGCCCCTTTAATGAGATAAACCTCCTGTCCAGGAAGTGGAATTACCAGCTACTGTATCTAAACTTCACTCATCCCTTTGTGCTCTGGTCCTCCTCTCTCCTCTTTGTCGTTTTGTTGGATTTTTTTTCCTAATCTTGACCTTTGGCTCCTTCTCTCCCACATGTTAGCTCCCTTATTGGAATGTTTTCTTCCACAAAAAAGCTTTAGTTCTTACAGGAAGCTCACTTAAAAGAACACAACCCATAATGAGATGCAAAAACATTGACGTGAATCAACACGGTTTTTGAAGCAGCTGGAAGTGAGTCGGGTTTGATGGATGGGCGAGATTTGATTTAGCCGCAACAAGACTGCTGCTTTTGTTTGTGCATGTGAGAAAATGGAGGAATTTTAATGTAGAGGCTTGAAACATCTGCCAGTGTTAACCATGTGGTCTTTACCAAGAAAAGGCACGCAGTAGGGATAAATGACAAGAAGTGTATTTTATTAAAATTAGAACAATAAGCTCTCTTTTTGAAGTATTGAACACAGTTTCTTATTTTAATCAGATAAACATTTAGCTATATTTATTTCCTTATCACCTTCTCACTTATTCTAGACGTAAAGTCAGAAGTTTACATACCATGATTATATGCTTTAATATCATATGTTCTCTTTATCTGGACGAACAAATGAACAGAAAATAGAATAAGAGTTTAGGAGTCGTAATTTTACTGTCATACTCACAGGCTGACACGTCGGGCTATAAGAGGGAACCTAAATGATTCAGAGTTTTCACGTGCTTCCTATTCTGAAGCTAAACACAAAGGTAGATCTGCTTTAGAAGTTGGTTCACACATCAAACAGCCTCTGTGAACTTTAAGCACTTCACACAGTTTAAATGAGGCATTATGCATGCGTCAAATTGAAAACTTGCCCATATCTTTGTGTTGACAGCCAGCGCAAACAGCTATTCATTCTCCTAACCCAGGTGGTTTTCATAACACCAAAAACTAAGGAAAAAGTGGTAGTAATTTTGGCGCAAACGATTAAAAAACACCAGTTTGCACTGAAGTTATTCCAAAAAAATGGGACTTGTAGTGAAATCTGCCTTTTTTGTGCACTTTATTTTCTATTCAAACAAATTGTCTAAAACTTTTTAAAATCATTTTGTAATTTTTTTAAGTTTAGAATATCAACAAATGCTTCACGCTGATTGAATATCGAAAGCTATAAGCCATGGGACGTCCCTCAGACCGTTGTGCTGAGGATCTGGGGTAAAGGACGACAATGGGGACATAAAAAGGGCATCAAACTTTCAGTTTATTATGACAGGATATGTTTTAAATAAGTGTCGACAGGTTGTCTATTGCTAAAATTCCCATGATTGTGGAGCAAAATTTAAACTTGCGTGGGATTGAAAACTTTCCTGAAATTGGAAAGCGTTTCAGTTGAGACTTTTCATGAGAAAAAAATGTCTCCTTATCTTTTGCTTTGCAGGACGCAGATATGTTGAAGTAAATAATGGGTTTTCAAGGTGAATTAACATATAATTTTTAGCACCACACCAATTCAAAGAAGTGAAATCTGTGTGTTCCCAGCGTTCTGTAAGGAAGTGATGCTGTCTGCATCTATATCATTACTTCCTTTATGAGGCCTTTCTTGACCTTTACTCAAACCAAGAGCCTAAGTGTGTGTGCGTATGTGTGTGTGGGTGTGTGTGTGTGTGTGTGTTTGCATCTGTCCCACACACACAGAAACTCACAGAGTTGTTATGACATGATAAGCCCAGACCAAAGCCTAACAGACCAAACACACTCGCCCTCCACCGTGGGAACCAAGTGTGTGTTCTGTGTCTAAAACGGTCTGTTTGTCTTTATCTTCTACGCTACGGTCAAAGTGTCTGGTTTTCTCATCCGTTTTGTTTTTCTTTGTCCAACATATTTTTAAAAAATGAAACGCAGCGAAGGTGAACGCAAACTCGAAGGTGAATGTGTGTGAGTCACGCGGGCGTTCCCGTTTGTGGCTGTATGTGATTTGCGGTGCGACTCAAGGGCACTCCAACACTGATAAGTGGCTTGACACAACAGCCTCTACATCAGGAAACCTTGAGAGCAAGCCTGCCAAAGTGTCTCACACACAAACACAAAAACACACACGCATACACACACACGGAAAGAAACCGATACTTACGGGTAGAAAACAGGCCGCCATTGGGAATGGAAGACAAATGAACACCACTTTAGACCGCTGGAAGGGACACAAACAGATAACATGTATCCACACATAGTGGGAGTTGTCAAACATTTCATCACACTTATAGTCTCCATTACCAAGAAAAATGAAGGCCTTCTTGAGCGTGTAAATAATACAAAGTGCCAATGAGCTCTCTAATGACAAAAACCTTTTTTAAACCATCAGGTACAAAACGCAGAGGGTAAGCTGATGATCAGTTCAAAACATACATAGCTGGATCTTATTAATCGGTTCACTTGATTCTCATAAAATGGTGAATCTTACCAACCCTAGTAAACATAAAGAAAATCTTACAGCTGCCTCTCTTTCTACATTCATCTAATTGACTCTTCTGTCCCCATTTTTACTCCCTTCCCTCCCTCCCTTCTCCGTCCTGTCCTTGGCTTTAATGTGTTCCTCTGTTCCATCTTTTCTCTTGCCACTTTCTGCTTCAGTCTCTCTCCCTTATGTCCTTGCCTCGCCTCCTTTGTTCTGTTCTGTCCACTCCGATTATGATCCGTACCCTTTCTGTCTCTCCTGCTTCATTTCGGTAGAAAATCGTCAAGCACACTGACGCTTCCCTGTGAGCTGGTTTATTAGCGACGTAGAATATTACGTGCGTTCTTTGCATCTTTAAAGAAGTTAAAAAGTGAAAGGAGGAGAAAAGTATGGGACAGATATGCTTTGGCTCCAAAGGGAGGCGTCCAGACCAGATGAGGTGGAGAAGAAGCGCCTATGCGACGACTTCTTCCTGGTTGGTGAAACTCCTGATGCTATCCCTTCATAAGGGAAGGTCATCTCAGCCGCTTGTCTCTGATGACCCAGAACTCAGGAGAGTGAAGGTTTAACTGTGATCAGACTAGCAATTCAGAGCTTCACTTTTTGACTGAGCTCTTTTTGACCTAAGCAAACTCTAGTGCCTGCAGTAACTGGAGGAGTATCTAAACCAAAGATACAGAATTAATAAATGAGATAAATACAGAGTGTTAATAAGAAAACCCCTCAATGGGGATCCATACACCCCAGATTGTAAAGTACACACTGAATAGGCACAAGCAGAGCATTACACCATTGTTAGAGTTAGCCGAACGGAGGGTTTGGGTGGAAGTGCTGAAGGAAGAGGAGGAAGGTGAATCCGTAGACGAGTGAGGGGATGGAGGCAACGGTTTGATGAATGGGATTGTGGGGAGGATGGCAGGCCTTGAATGTGTGCAGAGGGGATAAGAAAGTGACCTAAAGGAGAGGGAGAAGCTGCCAGATGGGTTGCATGAAAAAATGAGCCAGAAAGAGAGATGGAAGTGGGAAAAAAAGAAAACGGTGGACAGAGAACAGAAAGATAGAAGGGTTCTAGGAATAGATTTCACTATTGTCAGAGACTCAGCTCGTGCCAGACATGATTAAAAATGTTGCCAACAACCCTTAAGCATCGGTAAACCCTTTTGTTGAATTTGAGGAGCTAAAGGGATGAGTGGGTGTGTTTGTAGAATCGTGCATTTACAAAAAGAGAGAGAAAGAGCTGGGAGGAGTGAGGAAGATGTGATTGAAAAGTTATGAGAGGATTCTCTTTGAGGACCAAATAGGCTTATATAACGCTGCTGCACAGAAAGAAAAAGAGTCATGACCAGTAATTTCTGTTTAAATACACACACATAGTGGACAGCACCCGAGACGTCTCCCCTCCGAGAACATGCAGGCTGTGACACACTCAGACAAAGACTTAAACCTGCAGACACACTCACTGCACATATCCAAGAGATCCAGAAACAGACGGAAAATGGAAAGAAAATCAGCGGGAAGGAGATGGCACAACGAGCAGATTTTCAAAACAAAGAGGTTGTAAATGTGTGAGCAAAACCCTAAAGATTTAGCTTCTGTCAAGGTTTAGTTTGAGAATTTCTCTCTCCTGGATAAATCACTGAGAAGGCGAATCCCTTCAAAGGTTGAAGCCAAACCTCAGTAAACTGGATTTCTCAAGCCTTGTTTTATTTGGAACTTGTATTTTTCTTTTCATCAACCGTTTAGAAATAAATGTACAGTCTGAATCGAACGAGGGCTTAATGCACGGACTTTCTTTGGGCAAAATCGTTGAGAACTCGGAGGTCTTTAGTTGGGATTACATTCTTTATGTTTGGCTCATCGTTCACATGGCTGAATATGAGAAAAGAGAAAAGTCTCTACACCCATGTTAGCAATGAGACTTCTCTCTTCTCTATCCTGACCAAGCAAGGATTTTTCTCATGACTCTTTGACTCCCATTTTGTCTCCTTATGATGGGAGAAACTACTTCTAATAATAGAATATACTGAAATGAACAAGTTTTTGCTAAAATTAGCAAAAGCAAAATTAGCTTTAAATTACTTGGCAAGGTACCAGTTTGTTAGGTTTTCAAGCATCTGCTCCTAAATTACACTTTTGATTTTTTTTCTCCCTCACTGGACAACCCACATTTAAATATCCAGTATCAACTATTTTCATCTCGGGTTGCCACTGTGTTATTCATCGATGCACAGATTCAACGATTCACTCGTAACATCCTCAAAGCGCAGCAGTTCTTAAACTACAATTTAGGAAACGACTATTTCTGTTCTAGTAAAACCTGCAGTAAATTTCTTGCTTATAAAGAAACTAATTTGCTTCTGGAGCATTTCTGGAGTAGGTCATGGGTTTTCCACATCAAACACTATATCAAACTTTCACTCTTTTAATTTCTTCCTCACCATCACATTCATTACCCTTCACATTTTCCCCGACCCCCCAACCCTCCCAAATATTACTTTCTCCAGACCGTTTTAAATATTTGGTGGGTTTTCTTTAAGCCTGTTCAACAACCACCATTTCTCATTTAATGCTCCATTAAAAACGTCTCTACAAATCTTGGTCAAGCGTTATTTAGCTGACAGCGTATGGCTCCGAAAACACGACGGCTTTGCCATGTGGGTGAAGTTTGGAAAAGGAGGATAGCACTCACTCCTGCCACAAGTCGAGGCAGACAAGAAGCAGATGCCGTCTGTGAAGCCGTTACGGTTTTCTGTGACCAAGCAGAGAAATAAGTTTACACAACCGTATATTTGTTGATTCTGGTCAATAAGAACACAACAGAAACAGAATGTCGTTTTGCTAAGAAATTTCTCCAGATTTTGATAGAATAACTTTAATTTCAGCTTTAAAATATTTTGCGCGATGCCTGTGCACGTGTGCAGGTGTGTTTTTGTCAGGTGTCATAATTGTCCTTGAACTTTGTTAGTGATGAATCGACCTGTCAGGGAATCATGCAACATTCTCCCAAAGTCAAGATGTTTGAGGGAGTTGGTTTAGTTTAGAAAAGCCTGACATTATCTTATGCTTTATCTTGCACAATTTGCTTCGTAATCACAACCTACGTCTCTTATCAAAGAGTGATAGTTAAGTTTTCCCAAATCTTTTTACTGCTGCATAATCACTTTTATTACTGTAATAGACACTCGGCGCCCTTATTCAAGTTTACTTATTGCCATCATGTTTATGTCTAACCTTTCATCCGCCGGATCAGTTTCAGTCTACAAACTTCCTCTAACCCCGTTCTCTCCTAACGTGGCTGGAGATTCTGCTGCTCGTTTTCTTCAGCTGTTTTTTTTTTTTCCTTTCTCTTTCATGGCTGTTTTATTCCATGATGCGAGTCAAGCTGCTCTTCCCTGGAAACTACTCACTCAGCAGCCTCCGTCTCACCCCACATCGACCACATCCAATCCAGCAGGGGAAAGAAGAATATTTTAAGCCACTTACATTATTCTCTGTATAGCTGAACTCTCTGAGTTTACTTTAGACTAGGATAAGTTTTAAAAAACTCTGCCGCATACGTGCCGCTCGATGCTACCGTGCTCTTGATGTTGAGCAGTAGAGATGCAAGTGGACGGCGTTTGATCGGGCTCAAATCATTTTTCAATTTAACCTGCCCAGTCGCTCAGAGAAACGACCCGACGTTTCTTGTCAATTTATTGTATTAAGTCAAATGTGTAATAAAACAAAATGCTAAAATATTCACTGAATAGTTCAAAGATATTTGAAAATAATTGGTGAGAGAGTGATGTATTATTAATCTGTGAGCAGAAATCATTCAGCTGTTCTGACACTGACAGATGTGCGGTACTGTCCAGATGCGGCTGTGGATTTGACCCGGACTCCAGCTCGTCTGTCGTGCTGTAGTTGAGTTTCACGCTCCAGTAAGTGGACGTCCACAAGTTGTCAAGTCAGCAGATTTAATGAATACCATTCCTGTAGTTTTTTTTGTTGTTGTTTTTTTTAGTAATGTTAACTTTTTAGATTTCTCTTCCTGGATGGAAGATCCTGATGACCCTTAAATGGAGAACACACCATTTTGTCATCAGTAACATTATGAAGAGTTTCCACTGTTGGCCACTTTTGAGAAAACAATTCTATGAATCTTTGTTTTATTTTATTTTATTTTATTATTATTACTGGCTTTCACAGCTCTTGTTGCAGCGTTTAATTTGTGTAAACCCTTTATTGTCTATTAGAAGTCAGAAAGTTAAGGAGATCTGGCTTATATTAAATATAAACCTCTGGCAATATGAAGTAATAACTCTTCGAGGATGTTTGCTCAGTTGTTTCTGATTTCCCGGGGACAAAGAGAAAAATCACACATGACCAAGACTGTTTTAATTCACAGCTAAATGGCATCTTGAAAATAATATAACATTTTAGGTGAGATCAGGTTTTCCTTCAAAACAGCCACGTGTGACGGTTTGAAATTGCTCAACAACTTGGTTTTTGGACTTTTCCGTTTGGACTGATTAAAATGTTTTTCATTCCCATTTTCATTCAAATGGTTCTCTATATCAAAAATGCAGTTAAAAATATATTTTTTATTTTTGAAAAAAAACAACAAAAAAAAAAACAAAGGGAAGTGGTAACTAAAACCACTTCCCTTTATCACAGCCCTTTTTATCCAATAGGTTTTATTTTCAGTACATGAAATGACTCAAGAGGATAAGAAAAGCTCTTAAGTCCAGAGCAACTGCTCGT